TKRTKWTYWTCRWSMAGSWKRTWAKAARAAARAAAMAAMWWCAWCWTTARRAYWRSCACAKMSASWTKTTTTTWTTTACTGACATTTATTGTTAGACCYATATTTAGCTTAGAGTTAATCAGTTAAAATATGYTAACTGAACCAAGCCGAAGTTGGTGCAACCATTGTGATTAAATGGTTTCATAACCAGCAGCCAATTAGCCTAGCTTATGAGCGGACACAGGAATCCCAGCTAGTGACAGAAACCAAAATCAGTGTAAAAAAGTTAACACAAACATTTCATTTGTCCTATAAAAGCTGCTAAAAAAGCTGCCTTGTTAACATCTCATCAACACAGGTTTAAGTGTAAATGAATCATGTGATAATTGGAGCTTTAAAGGTGCTGACAGGTGGTTGTATTTACTGTTGTTTTTGTTCTTGTTTTATGTGTAAAAACTTAACCAGCGAAATAAAGTTTACAAAATACCTATTTTATATTTTGAACTTTAATCAGTCTATAGAAATTATTAAAATAATTGGAAAGATCCTACTCAGCAGGGGCATTGATAAACAATGCAACAGCTAAAATATGTGTTTTGCTATTTCAAAGGAGCTATTATGCAAGTTGACTTTTTGAGCTTTAYATCATGTGATGATGTCATTCCCTCATAAAGATATATATTAAGAGGGTTGCTTTGACTCATTCRTGTATGTTTAAGAACTCCTTGAATCGCCTGTGGTAGCCATGTGGCGGTGTCTAAACATTTACTGGTACAAAGCTCCGCCTATTTACCCAAAGCTCCTCCCTGAAGCTGCCGCCCCACAGAGCACGCCCCTCCCGTGAAGTATTGTTGTGGACGTGTGCTAAAGTGGGAGTGTCAGAAAAGGTATGATGTATAGAGACAGAGGCCAATTTCAAGACTACGATGCAAAGTCCAATTTATTTTTGATGTATACAGCTGTTCTACATAACAACTGAAGGGAACATGATTACTTGATTGTGGTAACACCCCTCCCCATAAAAAAATAAAAATAAAATAAATTAATAAATAAATAAAGTCACATTCAAGTTTTTTTGATACACAGCATATATGAGATATTACTCACCCTGAGAGTGTGCGCTGATTCACGTGGGAGTCCAGTGACATNGATATATATTAAGAGGGTTGCTTTGACTCATTCGTGTATGTTTAAGAACTCCTTGAATCGCCTGTGGTAGCCATGTGGCGGTGTCTAAACATTTACTGGTACAAAGCTCCGCCTATTTACCCAAAGCTCCTCCCTGAAGCTGCCGCCCCACAGAGCACGCCCCTCCCGTGAAGCATTGTTGTGGACGTGTGCTAACGTGGGAGTGTCAGAAAAGGTATGATGTCTAGAGACAGAGGCCAATTTCAAGACTACGATGCAAAGTCCAATTTATTTTTGATATATACAGCTGTTCTACATAACAACTGAAGGGAACATGGTTACTTGATTGTGGTAACACCCCTCCCCATAAAAAATAAAAATAAAATAAATAAATAAACAAATAAAGTCACATTCAAGGTTTTTTTGATACACAGCATATAGGAGATATTACTCACCCTGAGAGTGTGCGCTGATTCACGTGGGAGTCCAGTGACATCCACCTGTGCCATGTCGTCTGCGTGTGCACTGAACCCGTGGATGAGCAGGACTGGCCCGCTGTACACATCATCCTGCAGGGCTACTAGATTCAGATCCTGRTCCACGTGGAAGCCGGGATCTGACACGTCAAACGTCACCCCCTCATTCCCCGCGCAGTCATCAAACTTAACTGGGGGGGGGAAAAACGAGACGAACACAGAACACACAAAAGTTGTTTTGACGCCGCTCTAAACAAATTATAAACAACAGAAATGTCAGAAAAAAATAGGCCCCATGACAGTCACCGAGGTGCAGARTGCAGTGTGAAGATAAAACTTGAGGAGCTGTCAAACAATAGATAAAAGCAGGTTTTTAGCTATAAACAGATACCCTGAAGATATACATATAACCTCTGCAGAGTAGCATGTTATGAGGGGATGTCAGTGAAGCTTCAAAAACTGTCTGATCTCTACTTACACATGACACTTGAAAGTTTAAGACCCCCCAGCAAAAGATGCTACCCGATGTGGACTTTTGCAGGAATTTTGTTTTAACAGCCAAAAATTCAGTATCGAGTTACGAAACAGGAAGAGACAAAAAGGGATTTGTTACACTGAAAACTAAATGTGTCATCAAGTTCTGAGCAAGTGATGTAAGCACGTGTCGGCCTGTTCCGTCTGACTGAGGGAGATACTGCCAAAGACTCTACCAGGAATTATTCCTTCTGATCATGCTCATCCTCTTTTTATCTCTCTCTCACACTCCCGTCGGTGCAACATGATCCCCATGTCCTCCCCCACCCTTAGCCCCAACAATCCTCCTCTCCCTCATCCGTCACCCCCTCTTAACCTTGGTCTCCCATGACGATCCTTACCGAGGTGGATCGGGGAGGGGGAAAAAAGGTGTGTGTGTGTGTGTGTGTGT